AGTTTATATTTTGTGAGCTTAATGGGCCATCTATTCTTATGCTTTGTATCAGAGCTGTCCAAAGTACGGCACGCGGCTAACGTTTGTGCGGTCGCGACATGTTTTAATCTACTACAATTACTTAAATTTTCTTTTGATGCACTGCTAAAACTACATTATTTTTTTTTACCAAATTAATGAATTTAAATTGATAAATTAATAAGACTTAATTTACCATTATAATCCTATTTTTATTTTTGTTGCAAACAACTATGAACGCATGTATTTGTCTCTGCGGCCTTCCAATATGTCCCGCGTTCGCAATTGGTCTGGACAGCCCTGCTTTATGATATTGTCAAGAGTGCAATATGTAATTATATATCAATAGTAAAAATATATATTATGAAATTTAAACCGTAATTATTGGGTTTATATTCGCTAATGACGATATGAGAAACAACATCTACTCAACCAAACAAAAAAGTTTTTTAGGTTTTTATAAATAAACAATCACTTCAAAAACATTTACGTTATTAATATTTTAATAATATTTATCAAGAAATAATTAATTATACACAACTAATAATAATAATACATTTCTTATTAACATTCCCAACAAATAAATTTTAATGTAAACAAATTAACACCAATTAAAACAGAGACTCCAGACAATAATTTAGTCATAGCCGGCAGCTACGCAAGGATTTGATTGAAATTCAAAAAATTGATAAATGCATTTAAGTATTTACTTTACTCAAGACTAATTAGCTTTAATATTAAATTAATTATATGGTATCACCGCTAAATAGACGTCTCTGTGTTCGCAAGTTATTGAAGCAGGCGACACCAGTTCAGCATACATTATCATTAAGTGGCGTCTCAGAAGTACTCCGTAAGAGATTAAGTCATTTATCAATATTTGGGTGAGTTCAATTCAATTTGCAAATAAATATTTATAAATTAAACGTAAGAGAAAAGTATTTTTATATACAAAAAAAAGCATTAAAATTCATGAACCATAGAATTTAAGAGTTGATCAGTGTGATCGATTATTTTTCGTTTATAAAATAAAGAAAATATGCAAATAGATAACTGGCGTCTTTAGAAGCGTGAACCCACTTTGACGCCGTTCAAAGTCAAATATAAGATTCATATATGCGCCATGTGGACGCGATAATTTGCATATCATTCAATTTTAATATCACAAAATTGATTTTTACACACACATATTTTTTATAACAATTTGATTATATCACCATTAGTATTGTATTATTTTTTTTAAATGATCACAAATTATAAGTAGAGTTGTTTTTTAGCTTAAGTTCCTAAATTATAAATTATAGTATAAAATTATAAATTATAGTTCCCAAAATTATAAAATCAATCCAATCTACTAATTATTTATTAAAAAAAATTCAAATTTCTTACTCTCATAAAAATTTTTATGTGGTGATATATAGTGGGGATACGATAAAATTACACAGTTTGATTGAACATATTTAAGTTTAAAATATGAAACTAAAACCATGGCGTTTTCCAACGCCATTGATGATGGATATTTGACAGTAACCAAAATAGCTGTATGGTCACCATACCATGATAAAAAAGTTAAAATCTTGACTTTTAAAATTTTGTTTTTTTTATTCGAAATAGAGTTCTTATCATAGCACATAAATTTTATATATAATATTGTATATAGTTTAATGTATGTATATAGTTTCATTCTGACATTAAAATATATATTTTACTATATTATTAGTAACTGCGTGGGTTTCTATCCTCAATCTTAATACCTAACAAAATGATTTTGTTGAACATTTAATAAAAATTCTTATTAATATATATATTTCTCTTAAAAAAATACATAATTATATATATTTTTAATCATATTTAAATATTATAAATATACAAAAGATCAATAAACTGTAGAAATCACGTTTTAGATTTATTTCAGATAGAATTTTTTATATAAACTCTCTTGTGTCTTTTATAACAATTGTATGTTATACAGCAGAATTTAAAATATGTCAATAAAACAGACGGAAGATCTATCGACCCAATAAACAGTTTAAATGCATTTGTCTGGTTGAACTGATAAGATTATTTTAATAGACACTATTGATAATAATAATGTATAATAGTATTAATATATAAGAAAAAGGTGTGTCTATTAATCTATAGTATATACAAATAAAAAATTTCTTATAAAAATTAAAAATGTGTATTTTTATTTAATTTTTTATAGAGGATAGATATAGTTTTTATAATGTTATATATTGAGTGATATACTTTCCAATTAAATGAATTTTATTTGATGTTAATGAAACATTCAAAATGTTACCAAGAAAAATTATGACAATGTACTATTGTATATAGTCAACAAGAACAAAACCGAATATGATTTTGTTTAATTACTTTAGCAATAAATGAAAAAAGAGTTGTCTTTGATTTTTAACTTTTGATCTATATCTTTAACAAAATTTATTACAAATTTATATTAGATTAGATTTTAAACGGGTTTGAAATTTGTCAGCACGTCATTACGTCCTTTGAGGATTATTGTGACAAACTCACTTTAGTTCTATAGACGAGTATCAGTTAAAAACGCCATTATGTTCTTTGCAGAAATGTTATCTAATTCCGTTATAAGGAGATAGGCAGTTGATAATTACCGAAGTCTGAGTCTGGCGAGACTATCACAGTGACACAGAATGTGTTCTGCTGTCCTCTTCTTCGTAACAAAACCTGAAGCCATCGTCTCTTGTACACCGCACTGTCCAGTGAGAAACCCTGTGACAAGTTGAATGTACTAATGTTGGGGCCACTTGAGGTGTGCGTAGTGCTAGGAATGCTGATTTGCTGCCAGAGAAAATGTGAATGTTTCTCCTCGTGATGGGTTTCTCTTTATATTCGCTTAGACATAGTGCATGTACTTGATGAGTTTTCTTGACTCATACTGGCAAATATTTCCTCCTATGATTTAACCCCATATACTCTCGCCCCACTCCTCCTTTCTTTTGAAGCCATCCGTTTACCACAGATGGTATTCTCCAACGAATAGAGGTATGTTCCATCCCAATTATACCTGTCTGGTATTAGTACTAGGAACTTTTGGTGAAAGTTAAATTCATGTGAGCAAATATGGTGATGTTTAGTTTTTCCTCTCTTTGCATTTTACCTAAAGGAAGTTTTCGAATGAACTTGTTGATCGAGAATTAGTCAACTGTAGCTTGGCTATAAAAGTTATTGCTTCCCTTTTGTATAATAATGTAATAATAGTATTAATATGTTTAGGGGAACCAAAATGCAACCAACCTCAAGGACTGATGTCAGGGTGGTTTTCATCGCTTCACTTATCATGTTGCAGGCTAATCTCTGTAGCTTTCATAGCTTATCTCTCACTGACTTTTGCTGAGCTTTCTTTAACCAGATGGATGATCCTTAAGTAATAATTGGTCTAGCAATAGATGTGTACATCCAGAAGCTATAAGTTCATATAACTTTATACTTTATTGTTTGAATATTTTATTTTTAATTAGTATTAAACTTTGCATATCAGAACTTGTTAAGATACAATTCTTAAAATATTATTTTACTGATATATGCTTCAAGTTTGTCTTTATAGCAGTCAAATTCTTGAATTCTTAAGCCTATCGTCATGGTAGCTAAAGTAGCTCTTGAAACATAGAAAAAAGTTTCATCGCTTTTTCTACTATAGATAATCTTTTTTACTTAATATTGTAGAACAAGATAATGTATGATCACGAAACGATCTACCCCATAGAACAAAGAGTGGAAAAATATTTTGAAATTAATTAATATAAGTTCTGCAATAAAGTTTTTATCGCTCCAACAAATTTTATCGTTTAATTGGCTTAATCTTATTATTGAGGACATTTACTATAAAATCAAAAAATTAGGACTGAACGCTTGGTTCATACGTGATTGTGAGATATTTCATAACGACAGTTAATCGTGTTATCGTGTTATATGATGGTTTTTATTACTAATATTAAGTAAAATCTCAATTTATGTTATTGATACTTAACATAATTACTAATTTTTACAAGTAACTAATTATTGAATATCTGTGATATAGTGGCACTCCTTTTGATAACTAAAATTAGATATTCACATTGATGAAAAAAATATACTAAATCTTAAGTTCAACAAAAATTTCCAACAGACAATCTGATGCGTTGCCAAAAAATATTTTTTTTTAAATTTGAAAATAGTTTTGTGCGTGCCGAAAAAATGACTATGACTTTAAGTTTCGAACATAAAAAACATTAAAATTCTTTTATAAAAGAATGTGTGGAATTCATAATAAATTTTTGAAAATTAACTCAAAAAGAAAATTTAAGGCCTAAACAACAAAAAAATACATTCAATGAATGATTAGACTCATCAGGCAGACCACTGTACAGTGTGATTGCCAAGAATCAAAGTCTTGACAGTTTGATGATGATCAGACATGGCATGAGTCAATATAAAAATGTGTGTGGTCAGCAAATGAAGAAAAAAAAGAAAATATAAAAAATAAATAAAATAATGAACTGATTTATAAACAATATAGTTTATAAACGTTTATAGAACATGAGTTAATTGCACATCCATACAATTTTATATACATGGTTTTTACATATTGTACACTGCTATCTGCATTTCCTTAGTATTTCCCAGTTCAATTGCTTTAACGCAAAGCAATGCGGTGATTTCTATTTAAAATAAATATATATTTTTTTAAAATATATATAAAGCAAGAATCTTATCAAAATTTATTTAGACTTATGCGATTAATTCAGCTGAAGATGTTCAACAGTTTAAAACGGTACGCGAAGGCATTCATAATGAATTAAAGATATGGAACGGAATTTGTTAAAATAAAATTATTTAAAAATTTCAATCAAGAATATTTTATTTGAATGAAATATGGAAAAAGTTAAAATTTTGTGTAAAATTACTGCAACATCTACATAATATCTTTAAATATATTAAAAAAAAATAAGAAAATAAATTATAACATAAAATTAAATATTTTTAAGTTTAATTAATGCAAGAAATCCTGACACCCAAACCCAACACGCAAAAAGTATTAAAATAATTTTAACACTGCAAACTTCACACATCATATGGAAAACTATTTCTAAGATACTTAGAAATCCGTGCTCTCTCGCATTTAATAATTCAAGTCACAACATATTTTTCAACTGATATTTTTTCAGCAATTTTAAGATAATAAAAAAAAATAGAAACTACAGCAATTTTAATAAAACATTTTATTCATAATTTGCTATGTGTTCGTGTGTTTATATCTGTATTGATTTTGTATCTGTATCTTCGCTAGCAGAAAAAATTCTATAAAACTAACAAACTCTTTTCGAGCATTTGTGATTCTTTGCGTTGTTGTCGTACGTACATCATTTATCTGGTGTCTTTAGAGCGGCAATTTGATCGATCGATTGATCCAAGTTATTGTATCTTGACGCATATCAAGATTTTTGTGTATCCAGCAGTTACTGGCATAAACTTGTATCTAATATATGCCTTCATACCGAGGATATGTTAGAGGCATTATTTTAGACATTTTTTTTATTGATAATTTTTTCGCTTGGAAATTTAAAAAAAAGTCAAAAAAAATTAACTGAAAAATAACTCAAGTTTGGTGCAAAGCAAACATCGATCATCGATCTTTGACTGTTCAATAGTTTTAGTATGCATTCAACCGTGGCGTGGTACGTTTAAAAAGTAATTCAACTTTCGCAATACTTTCAAGTGGAAATTGGAGCACGTCTTTAAATTTTTGAAAATTTAATTGTTAAATACAAAGTTAAATCTATACAACAATATTGGTAATAAACCGAAATTAAGTTGTTGAAAACCGGATATTAATACAGTGCTTTATCATTTAAATGGGATTTTAATCTAAAAATTTAATTGTTTCATAAATAACTTAAAAAAGTTCACATAATTGTCAATCAAAATATATAAAGCTTATCAAGTGCGTCAATTAAAATTTAAACTGGATTATTTAGATTGCTGGAAGATACAAGCAGACAAAATGAAATTTTTTTTATTGTTTCTTGCGTGTAAGTGATTTTTTATTACTTTTTTACCTTAATTTAAAAATATTTAAAACAATTAAAATTATTAGTTTTAAAAAATTGAACATTTCTGAACCAAAATCATCTGCATAACTTACATTTTGCCATATTTAGGCTTGCAATAACGTTATTTTTTAAATTTTGTAATAGTATTTATAAAATATTATATTTAAATGTACATATATTCCAAATATATTAAATATTGTTTTTTTAATACACTTGTTTAATAAAATTAAAATTGCGATTATAAACTTGTGAATTATAAAAAAGTATTTAAATCTGAAGTAAATTTTAGATGTATAGACAAATAATACAAATAAAATGATAACTAAAGTAATAAAATTAAACATAATTTTAAATTAAGTACTTTTAAAAATTTAGTTTACATACCTAAACACATTGTTATAGCTCAAGGACCGAAAGTAATAGTTATAATAGTTAGAAGTTGTCTCAACTCATATTTAAGTATATAGTTATCATTCTAACAACTTTCATCCCTAATATTATACATGCTTTTTATATATGAGCGCTTTAAAATGAAACTCAATAAATAATAATTAAATTTGCTTTATATTACATTCAACAAAAATAATTATTATTATCTGCCTTTCATTTTTTTTTACGCAGAAATAACTCTTACAGTCTGCTTTTTATTTTTAAACGTACAAATAACAATTATTTTTGCCTTATAAATATTAATATCAAAAATAACTCTTATTTTTGAATATAAAATATAACTCACATTGGCCTGCCGAATATTTCTAAAAACAAAAATATAAAATGCATTTTTCATGTAAGGTAGTTGTTTTTGTAATTTCATACAAAACACACATTCATAACTTGAATAAAGTAGTAATTTAAAATTATCCTTCCAAACAGCCAAACTGTTAGGCGTAAGCCTCATGTTGGGAGCTTTTGGTCTAAATTGATTACACTAGCCACTAGTGCTTCGTATTTATAATTTCTTAACGAAATTAAACAAAATAATAATTAAAAGTATGCAGTTACTTTATGGCAATGACTATAAATAATTAAATATATATTTTTATTTATATATTTTTATTCATATATTTTTATCATTTCATATTTTTAATTATTTATTTATTATTTTGTTTTCATGTGCACTATGAAAACTTATCTGCGAACTTGTAAACTTGAACTATACTGTTGTATTTGCTCTACAAATAGCATTACTTGTAGTGTCATTTTAGGGGAATACATTCTTTCTCAATGTATAAAACAATATATTGTATATTAGCCATTTTATGTGCAAAGATGGATTTATTATACATGGATTCTGCAAAGAAAAAAAATATTTAACCCGTATAGTTCTACATTTATAGATTTGTAAGTACATGTTCCAATAACATTGTTCAAAAACTTAATAAGTATGAACCAGTTGACAAATACAATCCTGTAATTATGCTTAAAGTCTCTCTTATAACTTTATCCACAAAAACGTCTATATTATTAATTACGACACTGATCTTTTGTTAACTTTCTAATATATTTCAAGATTTACTTAAAGGCGTGGATTCTTCTGCATTCCTAATATTCGAATAAATTGTAGGCTAACATATATATTTACAGCATTATATTATAACATTATAGGCTAACATATATATTTGTAAAAATTTATAAATTTTAAAATCCATTTCAATATATATAAGAACAAATTATGGTTTAATTCCGCAATTTATATGAATTAGCAATTTTATTCATGCACTTATATATACTTAAGTTGATTATTACAAAACTGCTATAGTGCTTTATAAATGGTCTGATAAACAGGGTAATGAATTGCGTAAATCTCTGAAAGGTTTCGATTAAGTAGTTTGAGGATGCTCTTAACAATTAATTTGGTTCGCCGTTTTCTTTATATGGAACCGCAATGTTCAATTATGGTAAAAAGTTACAGATTGTAGTTCAAAACTGATTTAAGTCAGAACTTGTGGAAATTTGAAACAAATATTTCTATTAATGTTAATTTATTGATACAGAGTAACATAAGAGTTACTTAAATTATTATATAGGCAATAACTTTAATAAAAAGCTTGATAAATGCATATTTTCACGTAAGATGTAAGAAATTTGTAAGTGTATCATGAATTTTTTTGCAATCCTTCTCATGTTGCCTTAAAGAAGAAAACCTGGAGTAGTTTGATTAGGTGGTTATTATAGTGGAAACTGCATTGCGAACATCATAAAATTTACTATTGTAATGCAAAAAGTTTCCAGCCGTCATCCTAAAAAACTAAACCATTCGATCTGCAATGCTATGTGACTCTTTAGTGGGGAAGCTTCAAGTTTATAATAAATTAATAAAAAATTCACCTTACTCGTTTTTAGGTATAAAATAAAGTAGAAACCAAAATTTTTAATTTTTGTTAAGATGCTTTTATATAATACCTAGCTTAAAGTGAATGTTAAATTACCTACATTGTTACCCGCTAACAGACTGTAAAAGTAAAATAAATAATAATAAGAAGTATCGAGAAATAAAAATCAAATTAATATGTAATGCATTTGTAAGGAGAGAATTTAAAAATATTAAATATAAATAAACCTTTAAGAACATACTCAAGTGATCTCATTGATTAAGCAACCTACAATGCTTCAAATGAAATACTCTTCTTACAATTGAAATAATTACAAGGTTCAATTAACTAATCACTCTTTACTAATCTTAAATAACGTGTACGACTAATTTAGTAAACAACATTTTCAAAGAATTGAGATTATGACATTATTTTACAATGAATGAAGTCTGCTAAGAATTATCACCCAGTACATGCGTCAACCGAGCTTTACTCTATAGCTGTAACTAAAATTTTTTTTTATGTTTTTTAATATTCGATAAATTCCCACAGAATTATGTGAATCATCTAGTAAAACAATTTTATTATAATTCAAAACAAAGATTTTATTTTCTTTGATAAACAATTTTAAAAATTTTTATAATATTGTATAAAAGATGAATGAAGAGATTAAGTGTATGTAATATTAATTCCTACAATGTAAATATAAACTTTAAAAACAATAAAAAAAATTAATTTTCACATATAATAAAATAAATTAAAAAAATATTTTTTTTCGATTTGATAACTCATATGTTAAATATGGTTAACTAATTTAATAAATATTTATTTATTTTTTTATAAAATTTAGAGGGTTTCGAATAGCAAAGAAAAAAAAGAACAAAAAAATGTAGTTAATTTATTGAAATTTTGTTGACCACACAACACTGTTTCGAGTATTGCAAGTACTCATCATGATTGGTCTTAGGAAATAATAATTTGTTTAGACGCCAAGTGCCAGGCTTAGAAGTCTTGCCTGTCAAATTAGAAGCGATAACTAATCGTGTTTTACCACAAGTGGTCAAGGCGGCACAAACTTTCCGTGCTCAAGTTCCAAGTTTTTTTGTCACTTTTTTATTTATTTAGTGACATTAACCAAAGCAATGGTATCATAACGGTTCATTACTTGAGCTCACTTTAGTGCACAAGGCTGCTATTTCAACTTAGCCTGATCACCGAAGTTTTTAAGGATAACAAAGGTAATATTATTAAAATCGAAACCGATAGGAGCATTTTAATATGTAGACATACTGCTGTTACTTGACTACTACAATAATACAAATTTCAAGACAACTATCTGAGAATTGAAGATTATAAATATTCAATTGATTTTAAGTTTCAAAATAATATATATATTAAAATTTTATTCCTATATCGTCTCTGCAGAGAATTATTTGCATTAAAAATAACATACAAGCGTTCATATCAAGAATTTCAAAATGTCATTTCATATATTAAAAATTTTTTCATAAAAGTGATAATTAGAATTAATGTAAACTATGTTTTAACAACATAATAAGCATATTTCGTTTACATGAATCTAGAATTTTTACTACAGTAGAAAATCTACCACACGATCCCACAGTTCCCATCTATATAATTTATTGAGGTGTGGACATGGTGAATAGTATAAATCAATAAATCTTATAAATCAATAATAGAACTAAATAAAAATATTTTTTAATAGGTTTTGTTTAATCTAAACTATAAATGATGATAGTATCTTCACCTTCATTTTCACCTTCACAGATGATAATATTTGGCATGTAATCGTATTTTCTTTAAAATTTTTTGAATATATAATTTTTGTTGAATAATTATACGGAATAAGGATTATAATTCATTTTACCTCTTCCAAAATGATATAAATAAAGGATAAAACATATATCCTGAAATAAAAGATATGTTTTTTGGGGTGATGTTTTTTATTTACGTGTAAATCTTTAATGATCGCCTGCATCATCTCCAAGTGCTTTTCATAAAGTGATTATATACGTTTGCGCAATAGGAAAAACAAGTAACGGATCACAGTTTGGGATTTTAAATAATAATTGCAGTAAAGATAAAAATTATGAAACATTTAAAAATATTAGAAACATCTTTTTAATAATATAAAATAAATGGTAATTTTCATTAAAAGTTAATATTGAAGCTACTTACAATCCACCTTCATATTTATATTCGTTCTTTTATATAGTAGGTAATTACTACTATTATATCTTGGATAATGATTTCTTCATTATTTAAAAAAAAAATTATATAAGGTAATACAATTTTCTATATATCTTCTAAAATATCTTTCTATATAGATTATGACTGGCACATAATGTGTATATTAAAAAGGAATAAACTATATGAAAAATATACATATGTATGCATATTTATTTGCAAAAAATTTAAAACACTAACGATTAACTTAAAAGTTTTTAAATGACAACTGGACTGAATTGAACAAAAACCGCAATACTCTTCCATGTATGGATAATTAAGTATGCCGCACAAACATAAAGATATATAATACGCATTATTCAGTGTCGAATGACCTTTATTCTTATAAATCTGCTATCATTAAGTCCAATCAGACTTATCCATATATTGTCACTTAACTTTTTCAAAACTCATTTATTCTTAAGTTTATAAGAATTTTTGTGTTAATTTTTATGTTGACTACCAAATGATGAATTCTATATTTTTAGAAGCTTTAATAAAGCTTTAATTAATTAAGATTTTTCAGTAAAATGAAATGCTTTTTCGAGCCTAGAAAATATGATATATACAAATCTACTTTAGTTTCTGGCGAGTTGATTTTGATTGAGTCGAAGTATGTTCGTTGTTTCTGGTTAAATAAAAGTAGTTGAAGCAGTTCCAAAACAAAAAAGAGTTGTCGTAACAATAATACAATTAAAAAATATAATAAAAACTTAACAAAAATAGTTCATTGTTTTTACATAAATATCTTGTTGAAAACATGTTAGTTATTTAACAGTCTTATTTTAGTTTTAGAACCTAAACCACAAGAATTATAGTCAATAGCATATTTGAAGATTTCGTACCTTGGACTTATAAGTTATGCCGCTCCTAAATAAATAAACAATATGCAAAAATATTTTAATAATGCAAAAGACCATATAAAAGAATAAACAAAATAATATCAAATATTTGCATTTCATATCATAATTAACGGATTTCATTAAATTTTCTTCTATGCTTATAGAACAAAACTCATGATTATTTTCAAATGCACCTTATTTGGAAATAAGCTAAAGTTTTTAAGCATAATAGGCAAATAAATGTTAAATCAACTACTTCTCATATCCAACTGATTTAGTACCGTACAAATCTTACCCTTGCGGAATGCGTTTACCGATAAAAGAAAGGCCATCCAAAAAACTTGTAAGGACATCCTGAAACACATCGCTACCACGCTAGGAAGAATGATCTCATTCGACAGGTTTATAGACTAGAGGTCGGTAAAAATATAAATTATAATTTTTTTTGTATAAACGTGTGTGTGTATTAAGAAAATGCTCAGTTACATTGAAAAATTTCTTATTCATAAACAATACTACTCCGTAAGTAGTTGAGCTCATTAATAAAATCAGAACAAAAAACAATATTTATATATCAAAACCTATTACAGAGTAAAAACTATATGTTTATGAAAAAAAAAATATGTAATCCACATAACTTAAGAAATTTCACCCTCACACCCTCATTTATTTTCCTAGCACTTTTGAAATGAATAAATATGAAATGACAATTACGCATCTATTAAAATAAAATATATTAAAATATTTATTTTAACTTAAGCTGACTCAACATTCAATCAAAAACATTTTAAAATAAATAAAATAGTGCCATAATAGTTTTCAATAATCATGTTTGGAATTTTATTAATATTTTTCTCTGTCCGATTCATATTAATCTTATTAAAGCACATAAATTGTGTAGCGCATACGCATACTAAAGTTGAATGGATGGATCTACATTCAACAACAGACTGAGTATATATCAGGCTTTCAGGCATTAAAAGTGAACAAGTAAATGATCGGTTCGTTTTTTGTTTGCACGATTGACGCCAATTGGTCTAGCGTGTATCTGCTCGGGGCGAACGAAATTGTCTGCTGAATATAAATTAAAATTTTATAACGTATAAAAATAATAATGTGATCACTAGAGAATACACATAAATTTATGTTTATATTGATATATATAAATCACATACTTTATCGCTGCCGTAGTACATTTTTCGCATATCAATTAAATTTTTTCTGATTTTTTTTAATGGTTTCTATTAAATTTTTTCAAATTTTTTTTTTTGATTTTTGAGATACTTATGTTTATGTATTTTTGTTTATAGAAATCGCATCTGCCGATTAAATGTTAAATATTTTATGCTATTGGATTTGTAGTTATTGGGTGCGCGTGTTACAAATAATTCATTTAGCACATTTCGCACATCTATACTTTTTGTTAAGTAAAAAACGATTTCTAAGTTAAAAATTATATAAAATATTTTAAAATATTTCATTTTTTGAAAAATAAATTAATATTACTTTTTGCGTTTTAAATGAAAATATTTATTATTCTTATTCTGTCTTCAATAGGGTAATGAACTACAATTTTCAAATATTTTTAAAAAATTTTTTTCAATATTTGCAAATGCTTTTAGTATAACTCTTAGAGAAGAAGTAGCTATGAAATACAAAATAATTTATAAACTTATTAAGGTGTGTACTATATATAATTATACAGTATAGTGAAATATAACGCTTAACACAAAACGAATATCAAAAATCGTTATACCTAGAAATATGAATAAAATACCCCAGTGCTGATTAATATAAAATAGCTATAAATTATAATATAAAAATTATTATAGTTTTAACAATGCTATTAAGTATCTTAAGTCACATTATGAGGCGATACTTATTCATTTATACATATAAATATATATTAAATATTAATCAAACTAAATATTTGATGTGGCATTTGTAGTATTTATAAATGTGTTTAGAATCAAAAAATTAGAAATAAAAAACTGCAAAGTCGTTGTTTTTATGCGACAAATATATACATTTTAAATTATGGATTTCTAAAGAAAATAGACTCAATTTGTAGTCTGTTTTAAGAATTTTAAGTATAGTTTGTAAAATATTTCCTAAATTTATTACCAAAATTTTTTTATGTTTGGTTATATAAAAATTAATTCGTCTATTTAATGAAAAATAAATATTATTTGTGTTAGTAATAAAGTCTTCTTTACACTGGTGTGATCTTTATTTAATTCCAATCTATGCTTAAATTATTATATATATACAGAAATTTAATTACAAATAAAAACTGTTCGTTTTTACATGCACTTGTAGCTAGTCGATAAAGAAATGTCGTAATAATGTAATAATAAAGAAATATAATAAATTCATTTTGATCTTAAGAACTGCTAATAATTTTCAGTATTGTATATCAAAGAATTTTTTATAAAATCAAAAATATATTTTCATAGTAATGCGTTTGCATCACATTAACTATACTCGAAATAGCAATTCTTTTAAATATTTCTAAATCTTGTATACGAAATGAATTTCGTGTCTGTGCAATGGTATGGTATAGTGTATGTTAATAGGACCCTGTTAAAAATTGTTTAAAAACTACAAAAAATTATTTCATATATTATTCTATTTTATGTAATGTATTTGAAATACTTATTTTATTTATGTATATGTATTATTTACAGTGGCTATTTACGCCTGCACTTTGGTACATTCGCAACCTCATGGAGACCCAAACTTAAAATGTCAATTTAATTGTGATGTACAGGACTTTAAGCCAGTATGTTGCACAAATGATGCTGGAGAAACAAAAACCTTTACCAACTTATGCATTATGAAAATTGAAAACTGTCTTCGACAACAATGTAAGTTCAGATAGTATTGAACTCTTCACCTTATGAGTTATTGTTTGTGTTTTGTTTATTTATAGTTTTCCAGAAGACGGCCGATGGCGAATGTCCCTAGATGCTAACAATATAATGAATTTAAAATCATATGCATTCAATATACATTAATAAATGTAATTTAAATATATGTGTATAAATATATATATATATATTTAAATATATAATAATATACAATTGTGAATACATTTATCACTTAAAAATTACTTTTATGTTAAAAATAGTTACGAAAAAATTTTAATTAATTTACAAATTATTTAATTAGTTTTGGCATAGAAAAACAAAAATACTTAAAATGCCATATAAGAAAGTCCTTAAAAAATTTGTGTGGTATTTGTGTGATATTCTTAAGATTTGATTTATAACAATAAAGCTGAATAAATGATATACTAAATTAGAAAACAAAAGTCTCTTTTATACGCACTCACATTTTGGCATTGACTTTTAACTCAAGCAAGTATTAAATTCCTTATCAATTATTGTTTCGGGTTGATATGAGCAATAGGAACAAACTCTACAGATACACATTCGAAAACCATTGGAGGTTTTTTTGCTTAGTTATTTTTTATAACTATGACATCATTTATATATTGTTTTCATAATAATTAATTGATTTAAAAATACATGCGCGTCTTTTAAAACTCGAACGGAAGAGTTCAAATTAATTCTATTATTTAGAAGAATCGCAACAATAGTAAATTTTTATCAATTGCCTATTTATCAATTATTGATTCGAAGAATCATATTTTATTTGTTATGAAAAAGTTCTAGTTAGTTCTAGATATAAATAATAAATTTAAAAAAATTCAGAAACAAAAGCAAAACAATATTCGAATCTTTAGTTGTAATGTTAGATAAATATTATCACTGTAAATTATTTGTAAGAAGATTAAGTAAACTGACTATGCTAAAAATTCAACTTATTGTTTAATAAATATATTCTTAAAGTTTATCAGTTATATAGATAAAAACTTAGGACGTGTGTGAATTAGGCTAAGTTGATGCTGAACCAAATGGGAAATTTTTTGGGATTTTTTTGTATCGACACATCACTACATTATCGGCACAACTTAGAATTTCCCTCATTTAGAACGCAACTTAGCCTAACTCGCACACGTCCTTACAGATTAACAACAAATCGGTGCTTCGAGATTGATTACCAGCTAATATATCATATGACATATAATATTCAGTACTAAATTACCTGGTTAATGGAACCTTTTTCCATTAAAATAAAAGAGAAAGAGAGTGAAAAAAGTTTGGGAACTTTTTTTTATCTTCAGTTCAAATTTCTTTTGGATATAATGTATAATCTCACATTCCTATAAGTCATTAGTAATGACAAACTGTATATTACATTTTCAACAGACTTCGTTTTTGTCCCTTACGTTTAAATGGATGTATTCATTCATTTAGTATAACATTAATTTGATACTAATAAATATAAAGGAATATTTGTAATCGTCAAATGTTTTAATGGTAATTCGTCTTTTATTAATAATATATAGTAGACTGCACTTAAATCTTATTATTTAATATTGAAGTGCTGCTTATTGTTTTAGTGACTTGGGATGTGAGCTTATTATGTAGCATTACTATTCCAGAGTAAATTTGCAGTTACATGCGGTGTTTTACTTTATTAATTTTTTGGTACTATGTATAGGTAATAGACGAGTCCCTATGCTCCACTTGGAGAGAAGGACAGCAGTAAGTAAATAATTAATAGGTAAATGTAAGCAATAACATTTTTAATACAACTTTGTCAAAGAACACTGCCAACTCCTCATGATTTTTGCTTGGCAATATTTTCGGCGTTACCAGAATATTATTTGAAATGAGTTCTTTAATGGTAATAAATATTATTTCCTTTAAAATAACCTATCAAATAAAATTAGAAATGCCAAATTTTTAAAAAAATAGGAATTATTGCTTGAATTCGTCAATATCTCTAAGTATGACCCCAGTTGCTGAAAATAAATAGTAAAGTCTTAAATTTGTAAAAATAATAGGTTTTGAATCAAAAAAATCATGTCATTTTAGTAATCAAAATCTTAATAAAAGTCATCTTAATAAAATAAGGAAAACGCATGGACTTAGAATCTATGAGTATTAAAGATCAAACAAGTATTGACAACTAGCGGTAAAAATTTATGTATATCGGTCATTCTTTTACTAACCGGACGTATTTTGGCAAAAAATGACCTCATGACGATTTGCTTAAAAAATTTTCATGAACTCCTTTCATGAAATAAGAAAACCCGTGTATCGGGAATAAATTTTATAATTTTTTTCTTAGGAAAGACGGATCCACGGGATTTGAGAATTGGCATTGTGGACACATTTTCAAATGGTTATATTTCAGGCTTTATAAATGGTAGGAACCTGAAATTTACTGCGTTTTAAAGATAATTGATTAAACTTTTAAGAAATTGTTTAAACAATTAAAACTATTTATATTTAAGTATTAATATTAACCGTTAAATTTCAAAAAATATTTTCTCAAAACACATCCCTAGAATTTTCATTTTTTATATTTTATTTAGAGTCAGTTTTAAATTTTTCTGCGAAATAACAATTTTCCAGATGGCATTACTTTTTGAAATATTTTAATATTTTTTTTCCCATTGAATGAATTTTCAAAGAATATACTACAAATATTCTTATATAACATTTTTGATTTCGATTAGTAATAAAATTCTACAAGAAACCCAAAAATTTTAGACCGATATTGTCTTTTAATAATTAATTTATCCTTCACATCACACCAAACACATACACACGATTTTTCAGTTCAAGAAAAAAAAATTTGTTACACAAATTTTTCCCTTTTACTTGTTATTCAGATTAATCAATAAATTCTAATTAAAAAAATTGATTTGTCAGGCGTCCTACACGTTATTCATACGCACCATAATACCACGAAATAAATTATTACGGTCACGACTTAACGGTACAAAATGCATAATTACTGTTGCTAAAAATCTTGCTTTAGAAAAAGGAATCTTAGAAGACACAAATCCAAAAACTTATCCATTGCTAATAAAACAAGTAACCGATGCGGTTTCAAACTTTTTCAAATATGATAAAAACAGTCAAATAATGCCTGGGAACATTTATATATAAAAAAATTATTCCTTCTATTTGTCTATATATACATTTCCCAATATTTATATAATTAAATAATTATATAATAAATAACCAATATAAATAATTCTTATTTATATTGGTAAACTATTTAAAATATTCTGAATGTATTAATTATTGGGCCAACACTGGCTGTACTGGAATGCCAGATCAATCCATGACATAGATGGAGCAAGCTACTAAACTCTCTGTCTGTTTCCAAAAATAAGTTTTACATTTGTTGTCCACCAATGGTGGATCTACCATATGTTAAGCTGATAAGAACAGATACTACATCTTAGCCATACGGCCGGAAAGCGATACCTTTTAGTTATTTTTGTTGTAATATCATACAAATATAATTTTCACTTAATAAGAATTATAAATTAAATAGTCCACGAAAAATTTTTTACATATATTAATAAAATAATTCTCAATCAGTTTTCATAATTATTTTAATGAGACTTACGCAAATATATTGATATTATTGACTCTAACTCTTCCTCAATTGTCGAATGAATCTTTCGCCTTTTACTAAAGATTTCCGTGGGGGTAGAGTAATGTTGAGTACATAGTAATTTTTTGTTATGCCTAGCTCAAAAAGCCGGGCAGATAAATAATGCATTCAATATTCTGTAATATATATTTTCTATTCAGGGTTTGAAATTGCAATTATTTTTGACTTCGAAAATAAAACAAGCAAAATAATTGGAAATAGTAAAAATAATTTCAAACCCTGGTATATACATAAAACACATAGTACAAAACACGATATATCTATATATACTTAAAAAAAATTAAATATGTACTTAAATTAAAATTTAGATAAAAAAATGTTTATAAATAAAATATTTAAATTACGAATTACGAAACTGAAATCAATTTATATCACACCCTGTAGTTGCAAAGATTTATAAAAAATATTTTGCATACTTTTCAGATATTTTTTTAAAAACAATTTTAAACTTTTCTGTATTCCTGAAAGCATATCTATTATAATAGATTAAAATCGTTCACCAAAAAAATATTTTTAAATTTTAATATATAAAAAATTTAAAAACTTATAATTTCGAAATGATTAACGCATTTAAGAATATAATAATATTTATGAATAATTTATTTATGAATTTCCATAGTCCATAATTTCAAGTACTGTTAGCAAAATGGGTTAAATTATATGAGAGCTTCAATGATTCAAAATATAAAAAATGCTTGACCCTGACAAAGGACAACATTTGTTCAATTAGTTATTTTTATATATTTTAAGTTAGTTGCACTGTAGGTGAAATGCGAATGGGATTTATATATCTCCAATAAACTCTTATATGAATTCTTATTTTTTCAACTTAAAAATTTTTTTTCAAACCTAAAATTTTACAAAAACATATAATTGTTTTTGTTAGCAGTTTATCAAAAATCAATATAGGTAAATAAATATTTATTTATATATATAGAAAATAATATTATTTATTAGATAATATAATAACATAGTATTTTTTATAATGAAAAAGTTCTTAAGTTTAATGTTATTCTGGGTTTTTAATAAAACAGTAGCACAATGAGCCTATAGGCTTAAGTGGATCCCCTTGGGTTCGCCAGTATAACCTAACCAAACCTAATCTAATGTTATTCGCAACAATGTTGTTTTTACTATGTTGTACTGGTGTTTAATTTTACCTTCTGTTCTTTGTTCTCGCCTTCTCTCTTCTTATTTCTAGCAATAAAATTTGGCTATCCACAACTTCCACATGATGGTTACTTCCAAACCAGAACAAAGAGCGTATAATAAGATCACGAATTTATCAGAGCGATCGGAGTAGAATATCATATTCTCTTGTAAATATTTTTTATATAAAATTAAAATAAAAATATAAATAAAATAAAATAAAATAAAATAATTTGCAAATATTTTTCAAATAAAAAAACTTCACATATATTTAAAAAAATATTTACTTCAAGTTAACCGCAGTGATAAGGATATTTTCAATTAAATTTATTGACATGAAGATTTTTTGATTATGATAGCTCTATGAACATGAGTCTTTAAACCTTCAATCCTTTGTTTAACATGTGTTAAATTATGTGAACTTAATAACGGCAAGACATATGAACAGAAGATGCAAGCTGATTACTGTTAAAATTTGGATTAATTTACAAAAAAATGTTACGATATATCGAATAGTTTAGTTGAATTCGATGAAACACAATAAAACTAAAATATAAAATTAAAGTAATAAAAACTAGTTTTTACTCTAGATGAAATTTACGAATTTTGCGTAATTTGATATATTTAAACTTATTTTTTGAGAAAACTTTGTTATTAAAATATTTGCAGTGGTAGTACATTTTTTGAAATCAGTAGAATCAGTAGAAGTACACAAAAAAGGTGCTAAATATATATAAACGTCTATTAAAAATATGATGATTATTATTTAAAGTATGTATAAAATATAATATATATAATATATATATATATAAAACTTTTATACTGTATATATAAGGACCGTCTAATATAAACTAAATTAAACTCTAATAAAATTTAATTACACTTTTCATTCATATAAAAGAATTTTGAGGAAGTAACCAAAAGAAAACGCACATTTTTAATTTTATTTCTAATCCTAAATTTTTATTTTTAATTTCATTTTTTTATTTTTTATAATCTTTTTCCTTCATTATTTATTATTTATTGTGTATATATTATTTATCTTTTTTTTTTGTTAGTTTTTAAG